CGCCATGTTGTCCGAGAAAAAGACCACTTTCTGGTCCCGGAGCCCCTCGCCCCATAGTGCCATTGCAACGACCAACGGGAATAATTCCAGAAAAGCCAGGTTGCGCATGACTGGGCTAGACCCCCATGCCTCCGGCCACCGCTCCGCGCACCATCTCCCGCCAAAGTAGGCCCCGAAGCCCACACTACCCGAAGCATCCGTGAAGAGCTCCAACTCCGCCGCCGACTTACCCGCCCGCCTGAAAAACACCGTCCCGTTGAAATCCTGCAGGAAGGCATCCCACACGCCCAAATCAGCCCTCATGGTTGCTGACACCCGTATGAAATGATGCGGGGATCGAACTCCTGCCGTAGCAGCCGCCAGGCTGCGGCTGAAAACCCTCCCCATAGGAATTACACGGCATGCAAAGTTCAGCATCCCTATTAGCGACTGCAGTTGCCGCAGCGTAACTTTGCGCGCAACGGTCACCGCAGCTACCGCCCCCTTGAGCCCCTCCAACTTGTCCCGAGGCAGTCGGCATTCACCCAAGATAGAATCTATTTCTAACCCCAAGAAACTAAGGCACGTCGTCGGGCCCTCCGTCTTATCCGCTGCCAGCGGCACCCCAAAGTGGCCCGCCACCCATTCCACGGTCCTAAGCAGTTGCTGGCATGCCGAGGAGGCAGCCGGCCCCACGCAAAAGAAATCGTCCAGGTAGTGCACCACCGAACGGTTCCCCGCCTCGACCCGCACCACCCATTCGAGAAAAGTACTAAATTTCTCGAAATAGGAGCATGAAATAGAACAGCCCATAGGGAGGCACAAGTCCACGAAATATTTTCCCTCGAAAAAACATCCCAACAGGTGGTGGCAGTCCGGGTGGACTGGCAGCAGCCGAAACGCCGCCTCAATATCCACTTTTGCCATAAGTGCCCCATGCCCGGCCCGTTTAACCAGCTCGACCGCCCGGTCGAATGATGCATACGAGACCGAGCATAGGTCCTTATCAATACCGTCATTCACCGACTCCCCTTTTGGGTAGGAGAGGTGGTGAATGAGCCGGAATTTCCCCGGCTCCTTCTTTGGCACCACCCCAAGAGGGGAAACCCGTAGGTCCTCCAATGGGGGCACCGCAAACGGGCCCGCCATCCGCCCCAGCGCAACCTCCTTGTCTAGTTTCTCCCGTACCACCTCCGGGAAATCCGCCACCGACTTCAGGTTGCGCAACCCCCCCGAACCCCCCCGCTCCCGGAAGGGAATAAAGAAACCCCGCCCGAAGCCTTCCCTAAGTACCGAGGCATCAGTCCTGTTACCGTAGCGGCTTAGCCACGGCTCCATCGCGTCTAGCCTCACCGGCGTGAAGCCCCGGGGCAGGGGAAGCATTCCCTCCGGCCCCGGCAGCCGCTCCGGCTGTTCCCGCCTTCCCTTTTTTGAAACAGCGATTGAGCCCATGAGCACCCCCGCAACCGGAGCACTCATGCTTAAATCGACACGCGTTTCCCCATTTGCACTGGCCCTCATTGTAGAGCCAGCAGAAGCCCTTTTGCAAAGCGGCCGACGAGGCGGACTGCCCCTTCGCGCCGGCCGAGTTTGGAAAGGGCTGCGCCTTCTGGGCCATCATTAGCTTCATCCAGAGGGGCAGATCCATCTGATCCCACCTCATCCCCGGGTTAGCCGCCAGTCGCTGCCTGAACTGTTCATCGTAGCGCCACCATGCCAGCCCCCCATAGGTGCGATATGCTTCCCAAATGCCGTCCAGGTAGCAGAACAGGGACGAGCATAATCCCGGCGATTTTTCCCCCAGCACGCTGGCTAGCACGCAAAACGCCCGTAACCAGTTGCCAAAGGATTTCGGAATCTTGCGATACCGCTTCCTCTTCTCCTCCTCCTCCTTCTTTTCATCCTTTTTATCCTCCTCCTTGAGGTCAATAAAGTCCTCCAAGGGGAGCAGGGAGAAGATCTCGCAGAACTCACCTTTCCAGAGCTTCTCTTTCACGTCCTGTTTCAGATGAACCCCCAGGGGGCCCGCAAACGAGACGTATGCGTGCTGCCTGGCTGCATCCGGAATACCCCCGGCCAGTTCCGCCTTGTCACCCCCGGCCGCCATCGCCTCGGGCGCCACCCCCACGTCCCCGCCCGAACTAAGCCCCACGGAAACCCCACTAGGACCAGGGACCTCCGTCCCCGGGGCCCAAACCCGACCAACGCCACCCCCCGTGTCACCCCCCGCCCCCAGCGAGTGGAGCAGTGCTTGCAGTGTGCTAACCAAGGAACTGGAGTGTAGTGACCCACAAGACTCACCGGCCAAGCCCCCTGCAACTGATGCGGCAGGGGCTGCGTCGTCGACTGCCCGATGTCCAGGGAGAGCGACTCCCGCCGATACCTCGCCAACCGGGGAGCCAAACCGGTGCCTTGCCCGTGTCGATATGGAACAGCTCCGTGACCTGGAAAGAGGAGAAGAAGTCCTGGGTAGGGTGCACCGAGTATTCGCATCCCCCCCGTCTCGACCCTGGGAGCGCCTGCCCCTTGCCAAAGCCTCCCGCTGTGCCCCCTGCACGCGCCGCGCGCGGGAGCCCCTAGGGCTACGGCTCCTCCTGTCTTCCCCGGGCATCCGTCCCCGCCGACCACCCCTGGGGTCTCTTATGGCTATCCCACACATGCTTAAACTCCCTCGCTGTGTTAACCTAACCTCTACCACTTCAGCTGGAAGTCTATTCCGTGCATCCACTACCCTCTCAGTAAAGTAATACTTCCTGATATTATTTTTAAACCTTTGTCCTCTAACTGTTTCTATCATATCCCCCCTGTGGCGAAAGTGACCTCCCCACTGATTTTTGGAGGGGCCTTTGCTTGCCTCCTACCCTGTGACTATGGGCCCTGCAATATATCTTACCCGATACACTTTAAAAGGCTCCATTCAGGCAATGTAAGTACTTTTGTACTCCATAAAGATAGACCGACCATGGACCCTAATTTAACTGTTTTGGGCATAGGACCATGTGCAAGGTCGGTCAAAACTATGACTTCCAGGAAATTCCTGAACCCTTGAGCCGATCTGGGTGATTTTTTGATATGTTGTTCACCCAAATCGGGGCTATCAGGGGATGTTTATGGGGATATGTTGTGTTTTGGGTTACTTATTGGACTTTATAAAAATGTGTTTCTTATCTGCCTGTGGATAATTAAGTTAGTGCATTATCTGCCTTAATTATATTACAGGCAGAGGGGAGGGATTGTGTGCTGTATGTGGGAGTGTCATTCATTGTTACACTGTTTTTATTGGTCTGTGCATTCTATAATCCTGTGCGCTATCAGGTGCAGGGGGTGTTCCTATGTATGAGGATTGTGTGTAAAAGCCAGTGTGAACCATTCAAGCGGAGTTCCTGTTTTACCCTCAACATAGAGTCTTGTCTCATGTGTAGGGAAAAGGCTGCATCTACCCTGAGGATTGCTATATCACTATACTCCTCAGGGGTGCACTGCACTGTGTGAGTGTGTGTGAAGGGTGCACTGTGTGTTTGGGATGATCTGTGGTGTTTGGGGTGCAGGGTGTGTGAGGGGTGCTGTGTGGTGTGTGGGGTGTAGTGTGTATGTGTATTTGTGTTTTTGGGGTGCTCTGTTCATGGTGTAGTGTGATGTTTGTTGTGTTGTGTGTGCATGTGAGGGGTGCAGTGTGGTGTTTGGGGTGTAGTGTGTGCATGTGAGGGGTGCAGTGTGGTGTTTGGGGTGTAGTGTGTGCATGTGAGGGGTGCAGTGTGGTGTTTGGGGTGTAGTGTGTGCATGTGAGGAATGCAGTGGGGTGTTTGGGGTGTAGTGTGTGCATGTGCGGGTTGCAGTGGGGTGTTTGGGGTATAGTGTGTGCATGTGAGGGATGCAGTGGGGTGTAATGTGTGTGTGGGATGTAGTGTGATGTTTGGGGTGCTGTGGGGTAAAAATAAAAAATATGTATTTTTTTTTATTATTGTAATATTTATGTCCCCTCTTCCTTCTTACCTTTGCCCAGGAGGGGTGACCTTGTAGCCCTGGTGGGAAATCCCTGGTGGTCCGGTGAGAGTTCTCTCTTGCGAAGTCCTCTCTCCCTCCCTCCCCAGGCGCATCTCAGTGCCTGTGGGAAGGTGGGGAGATAGTTTGTCTCCCCATCGGCCCATGAAGGCACACAGCAGGGGAGATACACTGATCTCCCCTGTCGGCCGCGGCCCACCGGGCATTTGCCCGGTGTACCCGATGGCCAGTACGGGCCTACCTTATGGTGTTGTTTCAGTACATAAAGTAAGCAGATAATCACACTTCATGAACAGATATACACTGTTTCTAGATTTTTAATTTGTGTGGGTCATCAGGACAATCATGTTGGAGATTTCAGCAATAGCCTGCCATAACATCTCTTTTCCATCTGCATTTTCAAAGGGATAAAACTTTTACTTTGTTAATTTTTTTCACTGCTGTAGGCAAACATTCACTCCAAATAAGCAAAACATGCTTGTCTTACCTTAAAGGATTACTATAGGGTCAGGAACACAAACATGTATTCCTGACCCTATAGTGTTAACACCACCATCTAGCCCCCCTGGGCCCCTCATGCCTCCAAATATATATATTTAAATATAGCAACATCTCACTGTATGCAAGCCTGAAGCTGTAACTCTGCATGATGTTTGTCTCAGAAAACAAGCAGTCTGCTGACATCATTAAAAGTGGTAGCCTGTTCCAATCACAATACTTCTCCATAGGATTGGTTGAGACTGACAAAGAGGCAGATCAGGGGCAGAGCCAGCACAATTCAAACAAAGCCCTGGCCAATCAGCGTCTCCTCATAGAAATGAATTGAATCAATGGATCTCAATGAGGAAAGTTCAGTGTCTGCATGCAGAGGGAGGAGACACTGAATGTTTGGATGCATTTTAGGCAGCCATCTGAGGAGTGGCCAGTAAAGTTATCACTAGGCTGTAATGTAAACATTGCATTTTCTCTGAAAAGACAGTGTTTACAGCAAAAAGCCTGACGGTAATGATTCTACTCACCAGAACAAATTCAATAAGCTGTAGTTGTTGGTGACTATAGTGTCCCTTTAATATGATATTGTTTGATTATTATTATTATTGGTATTTATATAGTACCAGCTTATCCCACATCGCTTTACATTAAAAGGGAAATTTAACAAATTAGACAATAACAAAACATTACAGGAACAATAGGTAGATGAACATGGGTCATTTCATTTTTTTTTCTTTGTTACCTGCTCTCAAACAAGCTTACAGTCTAAAGGAAGTGGTGCATATAACACAATAGGAAGGGTATTGAGGGAGACAGCAAATAAACATGGTGGGAAAGTAGCAGAACTTGACAGGTGTATAGTCGCCATTTTGGGCAGTCGGAATCCAGGACAACCACCCCATAACCCAACCCAATAACGCACATACTAGAGGATATGGGGAAATATGTCCACAGCTTTATTTAGCAAACAATAATAATAACAATAATAATCATAATAATAACTTAACAAGTAAACATGGGTCATTGCCCCCCATACTCCGCCCTCGCATCCTATTCCTTCCATTAACATATAAAGGGCAATGACCCCCATATAAATAAACATATATATATAACATACATCAACATTATTCCAATCGATGTAAAGTGCCAACCATCCATTAACCACGGCAGGGGTATACCCGGATACCCCTACCCCACCAGGTTCTGAGCCACCGACAGGACTCGAAACCTATCAACCACCAATGACCACCACTTGTTTGTCTTCCATTACGTTCATCCTGGGGAGCCTATTTCCTCTCCTTCAGCTCCCCGTCCCGCCGCTGTGAAAAAACGGGACAAAACCACACATAACAAAACAGGGAGGGTGGGTGGGACAAACTTAACCAGGTAGGAAGTTAAAATGAATTAACTAAAATGGCTGCCCATTTAAATAACCAAACCCACTTACCCATAACTCCACTCCCTTGCTTACTTCCTCCTAGGCCCGCCTCCTAACCCCTGTCAAGGCCTTTTTCCGCTTAGCTGCGCTTGGCTACATGGGGCTACATGACAGGTGTATAGTCGCCATTTTGGGCAGTCGGAATCCAGGACAACCACCCCATAACCCAACCCAATAACGCACATACTAGAGGATATGGGGAAATATGTCCACAGCTTTATTTAGCAAACAATAATAATAACAATAATAATCATAATAATAACTTAACAAGTAAACATGGGTCATTGCCCCCCATACTCCGCCCTCGCATCCTATTCCTTCCATTAACATATAAAGGGCAATGACCCCCATATAAATAAACATATATATATAACATACATCAACATTATTCCAATCGATGTAAAGTGCCAACCATCCATTAACCACGGCAGGGGTATACCCGGATACCCCTACCCCACCAGGTTCTGAGCCACCGACAGGACTCGAAACCTATCAACCACCAATGACCACCACTTGTTTGTCTTCCATTACGTTCATCCTGGGGAGCCTATTTCCTCTCCTTCAGCTCCCCGTCCCGCCATAAGCTCAGACCTTGACCCCTTAAGCCGTCTGAGCTCCGCCACCCCGAAGAAACAGCGCCCGCTGCATACCAACCTGCCAACCCAAGTTGAGCAGATCCCAACCCACCTCCGAAAGGTGAACCCCGTCCGAGCGGTAGTACCCCGGCAACCCCTCCTCCAACTCGCTGTGCCGTACCACCACACCTCCCATCTTCCTAACGAAGCTCGCCATTAAGCTGTTCACCTTTTTCCTGCAGTGATCAATCGCCACCGGATCCCGCGCGTGCCGCCATCGACGCCTTGGGACAATCTCCGACCACACTAACATAACCCCCGGAAGCAGGTCCCTCAATTTGTTGATGTCCTGCTTCATCCACTTTACCAACCGACGTTGTGGCGTGAGGCCCAAGTCGTTACCCCCAGCATGAAGGACCACCATGTCCGGTGTCCTCCCGCCCACCACCATCCTAAACATTGCCCCACAAACCTCCCCCCAGCAAAATCCCCTGTACCCAAACCATCGGACTGTCAACTGGTCCTTCGGAAAGCCCAGCTGCTGGCCCTGCATTCGAGCTGCGGCCCTCCTCTCCGCCCAGAAGACAAAAGAATGTCCCACAATCCAAGCAACCCGTCCTGGGGAGAAGAAGAAAACAAGCATGAGGGAAAGGCAAAAGAGGACTCCTCCGTCCATGTCCGCCCCCGCACCATATCTATACATATACATATATATAAACATATACCTACCCAGACATGTACCTTTTTTTTATTTTTTTTATTATTCCAATAAGCCCAACCGCACATATGAGCGGAACCGCACCGACTCCCATCTCCCTATGCGCTTCACGACCTCATCTCCTAATCCCAACCGTGCGGCCTCCGTGGCCGCCCCAATGCGAAAGGAGTGAGTACCAAAACGTCCGGCCGGAAGCCCCAACTTACCTAGCCCGGCCCGAAAAACCTTTGTAAACTGAAACCGGGACAGGGAAGAACCATCCGCATGTACCAAGAAGGAACCCCCCACCGCCGGCCTCCGAGCCATGTACTCCGCCACTGCAGCCACCGGGCACAATGCTGCGCCCGGCAGAGCCCATAGCGTAACGTCCCTACCCACGCCACGGACGTCCGCCTTAGAACTACCCAGATGCACAACCACCTTACCCTCCAAAACACGAACCCCTGAGGCCTGCAGACCCCCGGGCACCACCCTACTGGCACTCACCAGCTCCCCCACGCGGAACGCCCCGAAAAATGCCAAGAGAAAAGCCGCTCTGAACAGAGAGACCTCAAACCCGTTGAAACAAATTTCCGGCAACCGACCCACCAGATCCCCCAATACCCGTACCGACACCGGGCGCCTAGAGTCACAGGTCCTGCGGCCCTTTCGATAACCCTTCAGCGCCTGCCGTACTAGGAAGGTCTTAGTCAGATCCTCCGACCCCGCGCCATCGGAACCAGAACGCCATTGCCGCCATGGACCTGTCGACCACTGCCGGGGACGCCCCCTTTGCCAGCAATTGGCAGGTGTACCATAGAAAAGCGTCCCGCAGCGCATCCCCACGTAAGCCATGCTCCAACCCGTCTAATGATCGTTCCCAAGAGTCCCAGACCTTACTGTAGGAGGCCCATGTGGCCGGTGCCAGTGAAGCCTTCACAAGTCCCCCAAGCAGGACGCTCCCAGCTGCCATATCTCGTCCGGGCAAGCCTCCCCTTCCTTCAATGCTCCTGGCGCCATCGACCAAAATCGGGACCACTGAAAACGAGACAGAGCGTCAGCCACCTCATTCAGGTACCCAGGGACATGACGCGCGCGAAACACAACATTCCGTGACATACACATCAACACAAAGCGCCGCAGCAACCTAACCACCGGCTTAGAGGCAGCCGATTGATTATTCACCGCATGCACCACCGCCATGTTGTCCGAGAAAAAGACCACTTTCTGGTCCCGGAGCCCCTCGCCCCATAGTGCCATTGCAACGACCAACGGGAATAATTCCAGAAAAGCCAGGTTGCGCATGACTGGGCTAGACCCCCATGCCTCCGGCCACCGCTCCGCGCACCATCTCCCGCCAAAGTAGGCCCCGAAGCCCACACTACCCGAAGCATCCGTGAAGAGCTCCAACTCCGCCGCCGACTTACCCGCCCGCCTGAAAAACACCGTCCCGTTGAAATCCTGCAGGAAGGCATCCCACACGCCCAAATCAGCCCTCATGGTTGCTGACACCCGTATGAAATGATGCGGGGATCGAACTCCTGCCGTAGCAGCCGCCAGGCTGCGGCTGAAAACCCTCCCCATAGGAATTACACGGCATGCAAAGTTCAGCATCCCTATTAGCGACTGCAGTTGCCGCAGCGTAACTTTGCGCGCAACGGTCACCGCAGCTACCGCCCCCTTGAGCCCCTCCAACTTGTCCCGAGGCAGTCGGCATTCACCCAAGATAGAATCTATTTCTAACCCCAAGAAACTAAGGCACGTCGTCGGGCCCTCCGTCTTATCCGCTGCCAGCGGCACCCCAAAGTGGCCCGCCACCCATTCCACGGTCCTAAGCAGTTGCTGGCATGCCGAGGAGGCAGCCGGCCCCACGCAAAAGAAATCGCCCAGGTAGTGCACCACCGAACGGTTCCCCGCCTCGACCCGCACCACCCATTCGAGAAAAGTACTAAATTTCTCGAAATAGGAGCATGAAATAGAACAGCCCATAGGGAGGCACAAGTCCACGAAATATTTTCCCTCGAAAAAACATCCCAACAGGTGGTGGCAGTCCGGGTGGACTGGCAGCAGCCGAAACGCCGCCTCAATATCCACTTTTGCCATAAGTGCCCCATGCCCGGCCCGTTTAACCAGCTCGACCGCCCGGTCGAATGATGCATACGAGACCGAGCATAGGTCCTTATCAATACCGTCATTCACCGACTCCCCTTTTGGGTAGGAGAGGTGGTGAATGAGCCGGAATTTCCCCGGCTCCTTCTTTGGCACCACCCCAAGAGGGGAAACCCGTAGGTCCTCCAATGGGGGCACCGCAAACGGGCCCGCCATCCGCCCCAGCGCAACCTCCTTGTCTAGTTTCTCCCGTACCACCTCCGGGAAATCCGCCACCGACTTCAGGTTGCGCAACCCCCCCGAACCCCCCGCTCCCGGAAGGGAATAAAGAAACCCCGCCCGAAGCCTTCCCTAAGTACCGAGGCATCAGTCCTGTTACCGTAGCGGCTTAGCCACGGCTCCATCGCGTCTAGCCTCACCGGCGTGAAGCCCCGGGGCAGGGGAAGCATTCCCTCCGGCCCCGGCAGCCGCTCCGGCTGTTCCCGCCTTCCCTTTTTTGAAACAGCGATTGAGCCCATGAGCACCCCCGCAACCGGAGCACTCATGCTTAAATCGACACGCGTTTCCCCATTTGCACTGGCCCTCATTGTAGAGCCAGCAGAAGCCCTTTTGCAAAGCGGCCGACGAGGCGGACTGCCCCTTCGCGCCGGCCGAGTTTGGAAAGGGCTGCGCCTTCTGGGCCATCATTAGCTTCATCCAGAGGGGCAGATCCATCTGATCCCACCTCATCCCCGGGTTAGCCGCCAGTCGCTGCCTGAACTGTTCATCGTAGCGCCACCATGCCAGCCCCCCATAGGTGCGATATGCTTCCCAAATGCCGTCCAGGTAGCAGAACAGGGACGAGCATAATCCCGGCGATTTTTCCCCCAGCACGCTGGCTAGCACGCAAAACGCCCGTAACCAGTTGCCAAAGGATTTCGGAATCTTGCGATACCGCTTCCTCTTCTCCTCCTCCTCCTTCTTTTCATCCTTTTTATCCTCCTCCTTGAGGTCAATAAAGTCCTCCAAGGGGAGCAGGGAGAAGATCTCGCAAAACTCACCTTTCCAGAGCTTCTCTTTCACGTCCTGTTTCAGATGAACCCCCAGGGGGCCCGCAAACGAGACGTATGCGTGCTGCCTGGCTGCATCCGGAATACCCCCGGCCAGTTCCGCCTTGTCACCCCCGGCCGCCATCGCCTCGGGCGCCACCCCCACGTCCCCGCCCGAACTAAGCCCCACGGAAACCCCACTAGGACCAGGGACCTCCGTCCCCGGGGCCCAAACCCGACCAACGCCACCCCCCGTGTCACCCCCCGCCCCCAGCGAGTGGAGCAGTGCTTGCAGTGTGCTAACCAAGGAACTGGAGTGTAGTGACCCACAAGACTCACCGGCCAAGCCCCCTGCAACTGACGCGGCAGGGGCTGCGTCGTCGACTGCCCGATGTCCAGGGAGAGCGACTCCCGCCGATACCTCGCCAACCGGGGAGCCAAACCGGTGCCTTGCCCGTGTCGATATGGAACAGCTCCGTGACCTGGAAAGAGGAGAAGAAGTCCTGGGTAGGGTGCACTGAGTATTCGCATCCCCCCCGTCTCGACCCTGGGAGCGCCTGCCCCTTGCCAAAGCCTCCCGCTGTGCCCCCTGCACGCGCCGCGCGCGGGAGCCCCTAGGGCTACGGCTCCTCCTGTCTTCCCCGGGCATCCGTCCCCGCCGACCACCCCTGGGGACGCTAGACCCGCTCTCTCCCGAGCTCCCTGACCTGGAGCGGCGCTGCCGGGACCTCCCCCTCCTCCCCCGTGGCTCTACTTCCCGAACCGGAGAGGGACTACCACTACAGGACCCTGAACCGGACCCCCCCCCCTACTACCCTGCACCCCCAAACGCTCACCCCTCCGGCTAGAGCCCGACCCCCCACCTGAACTGGCTCCCAGACTAAGGGGACCTAGACCCCCCTCAACCAGACTGGCCCCCCCAACCCCTAAACCAGGCCTACCCGACCCTACCCGCACCGGCCTAGCCCCAGAGCCCAAGGAGGCCCCCTTTCCCCTACTGGGGGAGCCCAGCAGTCCCTCCTCACCCACAGCCCCCCCACCCCTACCACTACTCCCCCCACCTATGACCCCTATGCCCTCCCCATCCACCACCCGCGGTCCCTGGGAGGCCTTCCCACCCCCCACTTGGGCCCTCCGCCCTCCGCCCCCTGACAGGACCCCCCCAGCACTTTTCCCGCCAAGAGGGCCCCGGCCGGAGCCCCCTGCACTTGCCTTTGGGGCCGGGAACCGGCCACGTGTCCTCCCGGTCCCGGCCCCGCCGATCTCCGCCTCCGACGGGGCGTGCGCCCTCCCGGGCCGCAGCTCCATGCTGCCCGCTCCTCCAGGGGACCGCCCGGCCACGTCCGACCCGGCAGCCGCGACGGCCCCGTCCCGACCGTCCCCCCGGCGCCGGGCACTGGTCCTAGGCTCCGGCCGCTCGCGGGGAGGCGGGGCCTCTACCACGCGGCTGCCGGGCCTGCTGCCGCCCGCACCGAGCCTCCCGGACCACCAGGGATGTCTTCACCGGGTCCCACACCCGGGCTTAGCCGCTCCGGAGGCCTCCTGGCCCGAACAGGCCGTCGTCCGCCGCCGTCCTGGCCCTCCGCCGCCGCCAGGGCCGGGCCTAACTGGGCCTTCAGCCAGTCAGCCCCCTGGTGCCTCGCCGCCGACCGGATCCGCTCCAGCAGTCGCTCCACTTCATCCATCGGCCCTGCAGGGAGACAAAAAGGAAAAAGCCCTACCAAGCCAAATCTGTGCCCACAGGAGCGAACACAAACTTAACCAGGTAGGAAGTTAAAATGAATTAACTAAAATGGCTGCCCATTTAAATAACCAAACCCACTTACCCATAACTCCACTCCCTTGCTTACTTCCTCCTAGGCCCGCCTCCTAACCCCTGTCAAGGCCTTTTTCCGCTTAGCTGCGCTTGGCTACATGGGGCTACAGGAGGTGAGAGTAGAGTGTGGCCCTATAGGAGAGAGCAAGAGGCCGGTTTGTGAGATAGAAGTTACTCTGGGAGGCCATGAGCATTCCTGGAATAATGCTTGAATTAATGGATAAACTTTCCAAACTATTTAATATTTTTGGATAAACTTTTAAAATGATTTAATATTATGAAATATGTCCGCTGACTAATATGATATATCTCCTTTCCAAAAATCGGTTGTACATGGCTGACAACTGGGTTTTACATTCTTCAGCATCAGCCATATACAGTGGAA